AAAAAAAAAAACACCGATACTACTGTTAAGTGGCTCTTGTCTTGTATTAACGGTTATTTTCAATTTAAGAATGTTCACGTAATTTTTTTGTGTGTGCTTTTTTGTCCACTGATGTTATGCATGAGTATTTGTATTTGTGGAAAACTGAGAAGTTGGTGCTAATTTGCAAGGCCTTAGTTTTTAAAAGTAGTTCAGTAGTTTAGTAGTTTTTAAGCGCCTATGAGTTTTTTTTCAAACCTGGCTTTGGAACTAAAACGTGATTACCAGTTCTTATATCTTTGAAAGACTTTAGCAGGACTTGGAGTTGACTCGATACGTTCCAGTTAGTCGATAAATTTCGATAATTTTACATATATCAATAACTCAATGTATTTGAAAAACACTTACATAAGTCCGATAATTCAATAATAACCAATAACTATCGATTACTGCGCGTTTCGACTACTCTATGAATCTCGATAACTCCGAAATTTACATACCACGATATAAATCGATATACCGATAACTGGATAAAAACCCTGGTTGACTCTATAATTTTTGATAACTCGGTTAATTTTGATAGCTGCAGAAATTCCAACATCGATTGATAAATTTCGATAACTCGTTACAGTCTAGTAACTCGATAAAGTTCGATAAATCGATAAACAGTGAAAACTCGATATACGTAAATAGCATTAGCAATTTCGATAGAAAATTCTAAAAACTTGGATTCAATAAACCGTCAAATTTTGATTAATCAATATATATCGATAACTTAATAAGTTGAAAGAACTCGATAAATTATTTAACTGCATAAATAATGATGAGTCTATAAAAATCGACCACTTGATATAATGGAATTTAAATTTCGATAATCCAATAAATTTTGTATAACTCGATAACAATCGGTAAATTTCGAGAATTGAGATTCTGCGTCTCTATAACTTTCGACAACTCAATAAATATTTATTACTATGAATAATTCGATACATTCCGATAACTGAATAAACATGGTAAATTTCGATAACTATAAACTTAGAAGATTCGATAGCTATAAACTTCGATGGCTTTATAAATTTCGATAGCTTGATAACTAAAGTTTTTTTTGGTGACTGGATTTATTTCGATTCCTACCGAAAAATTTCACTTTCGCCTTTACCTTCAATATTGCCTTCACTTTTTTCTCAATTATTTTTTCATCAACAGATTTATCTTTAGTACAAAGCTTAATTTCAATTACGAATAAAACCAACAAACAAACCACCTAAAATTGAACTGGTTGCAACAACAACTGTACACAATTACACAAATTTTTATACGGCGATTTTGGCCGTACTGTTCAACCAATTTTTTTAAACTCTTTTCATCTACAAAAAATACCTTACCGATGGTGATCTTGGTTTTGAAATCGGTTCGGTATATTAATATATAGATTGTTACTCAAACGCCATGTTTCCTAACAAAAGTATTCATTTCAAAAGCTTTAGCTCTTGTGAACTTACAAGATCCTTCAAAGGAAACACTCATTAAAGTTAAAGCACTACATACATAGTATGTACATACGTAATGTATTGTTTACACGAATAATACTTTTTAGAGTGTTGTTTCAAGACAGCACCCACCAATCATTGCATCTCATTTTGCGCAACGATGCTGGCGGGGATTCTAATCAAGCAACTTGCTTTAAGCAAACTCGCAAAAGCAACTAACTAAATAACTGTAAAGCTTAAGTAAGTAAATGCAGCAGCCATTTGCTGACTTGCTTGCCACTGCCACCGAGCTACGTAAATATTCCCCCCCGCGCGCGCGTAGTTATGGTGCAGTCAGCTGAAGTGAAATGCAATGCGATTTCGCACAGCGTTCATTCTTTCGCTTTACAAGATAATAAATATATATGTATACAGACATTTGAAGTTTTATAAGTTTGCTTTTCCCACGCTTCTTCCTTCGCATTTGCTCCTTGCTGGCATCATTAAGTTAAGCAATCTTTTCGGTTTATTCTTTCATAAAAATTGCATAAACTTTCAAATTTAACAAAATGCAACTATTTTCCGTCAAGTTTGTCAATGTGAATGGTTTAAGGCCAATCGTGAATGCATATATCTGTTTGCATGAATGCATGCATTTACGTTTTTAGATTTCTACGCACACATGCATAATCTTTGTATATCTCTCCTCGCTCTACGCTTGGAATTCCGATTTAAGTGAATTTTTTAATATGAATTTTTATCCAAAACCTGGGCGCGAACGTAACAGTTATAGATGAGAAACATCATTGAAAAACTCACTATGAAGGAAATGTTTAAAAAATAAAAGTCAACGACTGATTTATATTGATGGCTTTTAAAAATAAAAATCACTGGCTGATTTTTTTTTTATGACTTTTATAAATAAAAGTCTTCGATAACTGTTATCTAAGACATTTAATTTAAAAATCAAAATTAACTGTTATTTGCAGATTATTTAGATAAAAAACAAAAATAATTGTTATTTCAGATTTATAAAATAAAAATCAGTAATAACTGTTATTTAAGGAGAAATTAAATAAAAGTAAAAAATAACGGTTAAATAGCGATTTTTTTAATAAAAGTTGTAACTGTTACGGTCCCTGTTCAAAACGCACTTTGGCGATACCTATATGCTCAAAATATAACAGCTATTTTGCTTGGACATGTGCAGCAAGTTCTCAGAAAAAAACTTTTTAAAAATCAACGCGATTTTTTAGCCACATTAAACTTGCACTAAAATTGAACCTTCATAAGAAACATACAATAAATTAAATAAGTAAGTTATGTTAAATGTCGCGGCATATTTTTATTCCCAATGGCTGGTGCTGCCACCTAATTTTTAAATCAATAGCAAAACTAATGAACGGAATATGTAAGTCAAATGGAAGGTTTTTCAGGTGTGTCATTTATAGACTTGGGAACTACTGTGCTGATTGATTTCAAATCCATTGGATATATATCTGTTTTCTTTAGTGCAGCGGGCAAAAAAAATCCGGCAGGTCACGCTGAAGTTGAGATATCTATTTACTGGCTGATTTCATTCAAATTCAGAGCATGTGTTACCCACGTAAAAATTAACATTTAGTTCGAAAATTATACCGATTGGTGACACTGGAGCCGAATCCACTTTTATTCAACTTGCGAAAACGTATTAAAAGGCGTCTCCACGACGCCCAAACTGCGCAATATTGATACTATTCTCAATTTAAGCTGAAATTGCGATACTATTCTCCATTTGGTCATACACAAAACTGTCAACTGAAATTGCGTATGAATCTTAATTTAAGCGAAATTGAGCCGAAATTGCCTCAGATTCGTCAATACGACTCTGAAAATTGCTTATTGTGAATTATTAATGAGCTGAAAGAAGAAAAAACGGCAATAACAAGCAAATAAACACAAAGCAAACAAACCGATCAACATACTGACAAGATAACTACAAACAAATAAACAAACTGTCATCGAAATTGAGCTTGAAATTGAGAAGTTCGTGTAAACAGCTACAATTTTAAATTGAAATTGAGTTTCGAAATTGCGCAATTTCGGGCTTGAGGAAAAGGACGTTTAGCTATGTAAAAAGAAACTTTTTTTTGAAAATTTATCCAATGG